TGTAGATATGTATCAAGAGCAAAGCTTTAAAAACCTACGTAATCCTGACTTAACTTCATTTCCAGGAATTTAGTTCAATAAAATAAGGATAAGAATAAAAATTTCACTTCAATAATATTCATTTCCCTGCTGTTACATGATAGCCTATATGCAATAGTGAGGCTTGATTATATAAACTATTGTGCCTATATGCAGGATTAACTGCTCTATGGTCATTAAATATGAGCTATAAAGCTGACACTACCAAATATTGGCAAGAGGAATCCAAGGAACTTTTATATGATGATACTGTAAATTTGTGAAACTACTTTGGAAAACTATGGCAATATCTATTTAAATTAAACATACACATCCCAGGATACAGCAAGTCTCATTTTTAACAGATGTATCTACACATGTATTCTATAAAAAATGTGTACATAAATCCACCAAAAGACCTGAACAAAAATGTTCACAGTTGCATTTACAATAGCATCAAAATGAAAAAAAGAATTCAAATGTTTACCAACAGAATGGAGAAATTTGTTTATTAATATAATGGAATACTATATAACAACAAAAATTAACGGACAAATATCACATGCAACATAGATGAATCACATAAAAGATTGAGCTCAAGAAGCCAGAGTACAACCTGTAGGTAGGACTCCATTTATATAACCAATAATGATAGAAGTCAGGATAGTAGTTACCTCTGAGAGGATAGTGATTCAGGAAGACCATAAGGGAAGCTTCTGTGTTGTATTTTGTCTGAGGGGAGCTTTATGAGTATATTTACTCTGTGAAAACTTGGTGATTTACACATTTAGAGTGTGTTCATTTTTCCATACACATACACATACACATATGTAACTTAAATTAAAAAGAATGATATTCTACATAGATTTCTCTTAAAATGGGATCATAATCTGCAGTACAATCATGTGGGATGCTTGTTAAAAAGTACGGTTGCCTGGACTTCAACCCAAAGAAACTGAATTAAGTTCTCTGGGAGTGGGCTATAGGAGTCTGTATTTTAAAAAAATTCCTTGGATTACTCTTATGTAGACTAAAGTTTGAAAGCCATTGTTTGGGAAAGTATTTAATATCATGGAGAACAGTAGTTAAAGAATGAATTCCAGAACTCAAATGTATATTTTCAAATCTAGTCTCTGCTGTTTTATAGCTGTGTAACTCTACAGGAGGCATTCCAGCTCTCTGGGTCTTAGGTTCCTAAAGTGATAAAATGAGAATAACAACAGCACTTACCTCATGTGGCTGTTGAGGACTAACTGAGTTAATATATATGTAAAATGGTTAGAATGGTGCCCTGAAACAGCAAACACTATATAAATGTAAAAAACACAAAATAAAATAAGCAAATAAAGGACACTGAAATTCTATAACATTATCTAAATAAATATAGATGAGTTTATACAAAATATACATCCAAATGACTGGAAAGCTACACATACAAATGTTTACATTATTATTTCTGAACTATCTGATTATTCTTTTTATTTAACCTTTTGCTTCTTTATGTAAATTCCTATTATGAAAAATCTATTATAAGAAATAATCTTTGAAAGTTAGCATCTTACGGCTTATTTATTATCTTACTTAATAGCTAGCTGACACTTTGCTGGTAGGAAAAATCTTTAAAGCAAATTGCATAAGATTTTGTACATTTACTAACATGGAAGAAAGTGAGGCAGTCTGTACTTAATCACTCAGGATGAATGTAACCAGCTTTAGAGAGTGACCAAGACTGCATGGGAGCAGGTGCATGTCTGGATAATATTTTTAGCTGTCAGGAAGGAAATACCTTTCATACTTCTTTGAGTTTTCCATATTTGAATCCATCAGTCAGTCCATACTTTTTGGAAGTAAGTACATTCTCAGGTATCTATGTAAAGAGAGATACTGAGGGGAGGAGGCAGCTAACCCATGGCACAATCACGGAGACAAAAATGTTCTTCTATTTTCTTTTCTTGACCTCTTTTCTCCTTTATTTCTCTGTTCTTATCCTTCTCTCCTGTTTTTTCTTTCTTTTGTCCTATCCAGGCTTTAAATTTCTGTGTAGTGGCTGCTCATGGAAGTATACTTTGGACCTGTAAGTAATTTAGCTCTTGATTTCTTGAGGACTGCTAATTTGGAATTTCTGTTCAACCTTCTTAAGTTAACCCCCTGCTTTTTAGACACAAAGAGTTATGCCAATTGCTAAAGTTAGTTCACTTTACCACATTATAGGAATGAACCAATATTGATAAGTGGCTACTGATAAAATATTCTAACCATATATCGTGAAAGCTAAAGCTGCCCTCTGTAAATTTAAAAACCCCCCAAAATGTGCTTCAAATGAATAAGCAAACAATAAAAACGTAGGCAAAGAGTGGTGCAAATTCTTCAAGGTACCATGGAAAGTGAGTACTGATGACAAGCAGCATCTTGTAAACAAACCTGTAAGTGATATGGGGAATCAAAGATAGAAGGGATGACTCCAGGTTTTAGTTTAATATTTGGAGCACTTCTGTCAAAATCTGTCTTCTTAAAGTGTCTTGAACATAATACATCTCCTTTTTTAGGCTCCCAAATGCCTGCAGCATTCACATCAAGTCTTTTCATTGCTAAAACCCATTTTCTTTTGACATTTTCATCTGTGGGGAATCTAGGAAAAAATACAAAAATATTTTAAAAACAAACACTATTGATATGTGCCCGAATTAAATCTGTCTTCTATGTATGTGGCTAAACTGATTCCTTAGGTTGTTATTACTCTTGAGAATTGCAATATTCAGGAAACTATGATTCGTGCTGCGTAACTTAAGTTTTAATATCCAGATTTTTCTGCCAACCATTCTGTAGCCAAATGGACTTAATTTTTCTGAGATTATATGGAAGAAAAGTTCCAATGGATATTTAGCACCTTATAGTAAGATCTGCAACTGAAGAATTTTCTTCATCTATAGATGATAAGGAATATCACTTGGGTCTTTTCCTATCTGAAGTAATATCCAGAATTTATTTCCCATGAATAGGGCCCTTTTACATTCACTCTTCTGTCAGCATTAGAAAATTGCTTAGTATAGAATTTAATATAGAGCAGGTCCATAAATGCTTAGCGAATGCATCCAGAGAACAGCTAGCTGCAGGACTAAGTTCTGTAGATCAGAAATATTTTGAGAGAATTGGAGGCCAATAATTTTGTCTTTCCCAATTTTCTAAGCTGGTTGAAATCTTTTTGGAATAAAGCAGGGTATACATACTTATTTATTATTTCTATATACCTAACAAAGTAGCTAGCAGTTCTTTCTCTAGAAAAACAGTATGGTGCTTGGCACAAAAGCAGCAAAATAAACCTTTAGGAACTGAACAATTATTAAATTCTATATTTCTCTCCTATGGCTGTCAGAGGAATGGCTAAAATACTAAATATGGCTCATCTTGGTTTATTCTGGAATGCAGTTAAGAACACTCACTCTGAACTCATATTTATATTTTACAACCTATGCCTGATCTATTTCTAAATAGAAAAGAATATATTTAAGCTAAGATTCTTCATTCAGATTGTAAACTACATGTAAACATCAAACTTCTTTAAAGAAAATACAATGTTAAACAGAATAATTACATTAGTAAAAATGAGTTTGATGATATTTGTTGAAGTCTCTGATACCTTGGTGGTTATCTTAAAACTTTTACACTAAATTACTTATAATTTACACTTTTAAGTGTACAGGTGTCAAATTTAACTAGAAGGTTATTTAAAAAGAACTTGGGGGCTGTGGCTGTGGCTCAGGGGTAGAGCACTTGCCTGGCATGTGTGAGGCACTGGATTCTCAGCACCAAGTATAAATAAAGGTCTATCAACAACTAAAGAAATATTAAAAAAAAAAAAAAAAAAAGAAAAAGAAAAGAACTTGGGAACTAAAGTTCTAAACTGAAGCCTTAAGTAGAACAGTCTATTTTAATACAGTCAAAAGAACTTGGCTTAACTACAGCAGTCTTACACATGAAATGTCAGTCCTTTTAACTTGGAATTTGGCAAACAGCGAGAAGCACATCCAATGGCTGAGCAACATTTCACCATGATTTTAGCAACTCATAACAGAACTGAAAGAAAATTAAAATAGTAAGAGTTAGTAACTTTAAAGCTAAAGGGGAACATATTTACCTTTCCCAATACATTCCAGGAAACAAGAAATCATACAAGAAAGCCAAAGGCAAGTATTTTTATCCAACACCTGCCTGCAACTTTGCTCATAAAATTTTCTAAGGGCTTGGCATTTTATTAATAGAACATATTTATCTGTATCCCCTGAGAGTATGATTTCATCTTTGTAGACATATACATTTTCCTTCTATCTCCTTACAGGCCCAGAGTCTGTCTGCCCTAAGCCTTTGCTAACTCCTGGCATACAATCTGCTACTCATCTTTCAGCTCCTGTCTGCCTAACCAGGGAAATCTTCCCTGACACTTGGATTAAGGCAGATCCCCTCTAACATCAGATCTCTCAGAATACACACTTTTCCTTACATTACTTCTCCAAATTAAAAATCTTACATTACTGCAGGGATTTTCTGATTGTCTTTTAATCCCACTCGCTGTCAGTTCCATCAAGGAACAGCAGGCATGCCTATTGTTTTTCACTTTTTGTCCTCACGTCTTGGCTGGTGACCTGCACATGATAAATGCTAATGCATATTTTGAAAGAATGAAACAGCAAGAAAAGGGACTGGAACGTGGGGCAGCAGCAGCTCTAGTTCATCAGCAGCGAGCTCTGGGCCCCGCCATGGGCCGAGCTCCGCCCCTTTCTCGAGGCGCTCCGCCGCCCGAGGGTGAGAGGGAGGGGCCATCAAGTCACAGGTGCCGATGCGGCCGGAGACCGTCCCTTCCTCAGGGGCCACCAGGCGTCTCTGCGCCGCTGCGGTCCTCCTCGCTCCGAACTACGTCCCGGGATCTGGGCGGGCGGCGATGCCAAGGGAAAAGAGCTAATCTAAGAGTTATTACCGTTAGCAGCGAAGACGACGACTAACGTCGAAGACGGAGGTTGCGTCTCCCTTCGCTTCCGCACCATAGCCCCGGGAACCGGAAATCCGGCTGCCCCTGGTCACGTGATCGGCCGCCATATCTATTCTGGTGTCAGCTGCGGCTGGGAGGGGGATCCGAGCGGCGCTTCTTCTCTGGGCGTGGTTTTCCACCCGGGGGAAGGGTCTGCGGAGTGTGAGGGGAGGTGGAGGAGATGGCGGCAACTGCGCATGAAGATGGCGTCCGCAGCCAAGAGCGAGGGCAGCGGGGCTGCGAGCACTATGACAGAGGATGTCTCCTGAAGGTGACGACTTCAGTGGGCTTTTCTCCGACGAGCTTCCGCTGAGTCAGGCTGGGGACGCGATGGGCAAAGCAGTTAGGCTTAAGATTTGTTTGAGGTTGAGCTGTTTGTCAGGATACCTGCGCCTTCATCTGGAACTAGGTTCCACTAGTAGAGAACGTTTTTGTCAGGGCGACCATAAGCCCCACGGTTCTTTTCTATTTTTGTACTTTGCAAGCAAAGCCCTTATTGTTTGGCAAGACCTTGGGCTTACACGAAATTACTTTACCAATGGGTTTGTGAGTCTTTTGCTGTTGGAAGTAGACTGAGGCAGCGTCAGGCCTGAACCAGGCTTGTCTCCAGAACCACCCTTCAAGTGTATGATGAAATGAGGATAAGCAAGTGGAGAATCGGAATACAATTTCAATTCCTGGAGTAAAAAAACTTTACAGCCTGCCAGCTTCATTTTAGAGTCAGTGCCTATGCCCAAACCTGTCAATGAGAAACAGTATGTGTGAGATGGAAGACAAATCATGTGGTTACCATTAAATTGGAAATTCGGTATAGAAAAGTGCCTAGAATGTATTGTTATTTTTGCTATTTACTTTGAGAAGACGTCTTAGTCAATCTAGAGCCTTTAAAATTGGCACCCATCCAACTAAAGTTTCATGATTTTTCTTGGAAGAAGCAGTATAAAGATTTTACCAAGAAAGCCTGAGCTTTTGGGCTGGTAGTGTAGCTTATTACTAGAGCATGTGCTTAGCATGCGTGAGGCCAACGAGGCCCTGGGCTCAGCTCCCAGCAACCTCATCCTCCAAAAGAAAGCAAGCTTGAGTCCTGCAGCCTTATCCCCAAGTCTTATCTCTGCCCCTTAATATTTCTGTGATGTTTGAGCTAGTTAGCATGTAAAGTAGGGATCTTAGAAAAAGTATGAGTATTACCTATTAAGGTGTGTGTGTGTGTGTAGTGTTTAGTAGGTGCATTCCTGGAGTGAGTAGTAAGTGTTAATTACCACCATCATGAATATCCACATCATTCTCACTTTACCAATCAACTCTGCTTATCACCGATCACAGTAATTAGAAGCAAGTGGCAATCTCAGGCTTGTGAGGACAGCCTAAACCCATGTAGGCTATAGTTTGGTGATCATTGTTGTACTGCACTGGTTGAAGCTTTTTCAAAGTTGGTCATTCATCAGATGTGTAAGGAAATTGAATGCTATCCTTCTGATTACATTTTTATTAAGATGTTCTAGTCTTCTTTCATACTTGTTGTTTAAAACCTAATGTTTAATATCTTGCCCTGAACCTTTCCAAAGAAACAACATAACTGAATCTAAATTTTGTAGCACTAAAATTCTTGGCTCTGAGCAAGTGTCATGAACTTTGTTGTTTCTCCCCCTCCTCTTCCTTAAATAGCAGAGGCCAAATGAAGAGTTTCAAGGAGGAAATGATCAACTCGATTAAGTGGAGCTGTTTGAGTAAGATAAGAACTGAGAATTAATGTTTGAATTTGGCAAAGAGGTCAGCACTGGTGATCTTGCCAAGAGAATTGTAATGGAGAGATCAGGATAAAGCCTGACTGGAGTGGGTATAAGAGAGAATGGAAGTGAAACTGAAAATAACACAGACCATTCTTCAAATTTTTCTATATTGCATAAAGCTGAGGGATCGGAGTTTTTTCCACTTCAAGATAGGAGATGATACAGCATGTTGTATATTCTTTAAAATAATTTAGTAGAGAACAATATAATCCAGGAGGAAGAGGGAAAACCATAAGGGTACTGTCTTTGAGTAGCCAAATTGCATAAGTGGAGAGGTTGACTTTAGATTGAAGAATGAATTGACTAAAGATTCTTTGTAAAGGAAGGGAAGGCTGAGGATGAAGTATATTAAGTTGGTTGATAAGAGTTCTGGAAGGATGTTTTCCTTTGATTACTTCTGTTTAATAGTGAAGGAACAAGGTCATCATCAGAGGGTTAAGAGGGAGGAAGAGGTGTTAGAGTTTTAAAGAGAGAGAAGATATGAAATGATCATCTAGATCCTAGATCTTTGACTCTAGAAGAATGAGGGGATTAACTAAGGAACTGGTAGTAAGATTCTACTTTTTGAGTGGTTTTGACTTAAAAGGGAGACCAGACAGTGTGGTGGTTGGTGGTTTTTCTCTAACCATGGTCAGCTGCTTCTGATATAGGTTGAGTAGGAAAGAGTTGAATTTAACTCGGGTTGATTTTGGCAGACATGTAGAGGAAGAGCGAGGAGAGAGCTAGGGAATACAAAAGGGGAGACTTGGAGTTACTTTGAAAGAGAAGGTAGTGGTTAGAGATTTTCATGCTTGAAATTGAATGTAAAGAAGATATAGTCCTTGTTCTGAAGCAGTGGTTTTCAGAGTGTAATGAATGGACGGAATGGACCATCTTGAGACTGTGAGGACAAAACTACTTTCTAAGGAACACTAGAATATTGTTCATTTCAGTGTGTTGACATTTGCACTTATGGTGGAAAGGCAGTGATTAAAATTGTTAGCACCTGTGCATCAATCAGACTGTGGTACTGAACTAATACTACACATTTTTAAAAATGCCCTTTTGACAAAAAGGAAGGTTTTTATCAAGTGCTTTGATTGTCTTGAGGAAGAAGCTCTTGTGCAATTGGATTGTGAAGTGAGCTAGTTGCTTTTTTCATGAAACAACTTTTTTGTTTTTAAACTTGGAAAAAAAAAACCTGATTATTTAGACTTTGGCATTTGGTAGACAGTCTCAAAAGAGTCAAGACTCAATACAAGAAAAACAATTGACAATATTTGTTGCCAGTGATAAAATTTAAGCTTTTTGCAAAAACTAGAATTTTAGAAAACTCTTATTAGCTTTTGTGAGCTTGAAAGTTTCCCAATACCTAAAGATTTTTAATGATTTTTTTTTGTGTGTGTTGTTGTTGCAATATTGGGGATTGAACCTGGAGGCTCATACATCTTAGGCAAGCTCTGTACAACTGAGCCATATTGCCAGCATAAATGTAACTTTTTGATTGCATGTGAAATGTGAAATTTGGAAGATCTACATAACTAAGTGAACTGGTGTGTTCCAGATGACCAGTGCATGGGTAAAATATTAATTCCAAGTGCAAGATAGATAATGAATTTTAATGAAAAGAAGGAAAATTTTATTGGTATTATTTCAGATTCTGTGTTACTGCCAACCTTTAAGAGCTATTAAGTTTTGGTGTAGTATCAGAATATCCACAATTCTCTGAAAAGGCTATTAAAAAACTTTTCAACTTACATATTTGTATGAGACCAGAATTTCTTCATGTGCTTCAACTACAGCTGATTGAATGCAGAAACAGATATGTGAATCCAGCTATTTAGGGGGAAAGAATAGTTATTTTTCATTATAGTCTGTTATTTGTCTCACATGTAATGGACTTGTTACTTTTATTTTTTCAAAAATAATATTTTAGTCGGGTGTGGTGGCTCATGCCTGTAATCCCAGTGGCTTGGGAGGCTGAAACAGAAGGATCTTGAGTTCAAAGCCAGCCTCAGCAAAAGTGAGGCACTAAGCAACTCAGTAAGACCCTCTCTCTAAATAAAATGTAAAATAGGGTTGGGGATGTGTGGCTCAGATCCTTAATAATTTTTAAGAGGATAAAGGCATCCTGAGACCCTGTAGAACAATGTTCTGAGGTATAACTCTCTGTGAGGAGGGTTGGAGGACTAGGCCATTGAAAGTAAGGAAGGCAAAGAATTGAGAGTTCAGGCTATTGGAATGATTCTCTTTGCAAGGATGTAGATCACTAAGATTGAGGACAAGAACAGTGTTGGAAAAAAAAGGAAGTCAAGTATTAAAATCTTTAAAGAATGAATTATGTTGTGGTTATATCATGGCATAGGAAGTCTTCAGAAGTGAGAGGATCTGCAAGATTATAGTATAGTACCGGGTTAGCCTGTACTGGTTAGCCAGCAAGATTACATATAGTTTTGATCTGGAAATTTCTCTCTCTCTCTCTCTCTCTTTTAAAATATTTTTTAGTTGTCAACAGACCTTATTTTATTTATGTATATGTGGTGCTGAGAATCGAACTAGTGCCTCACAGTGATATTGACAGGCAAGTGCAATATCACTGAGCCACAACTCCAGCCCCTGAAAATCTCTTTATATACTAGTTAGGGTGAAGTTAATGAAAAAACCCAACAATAATGTTTAAAGAATAAAAAAAGTTTGTTTATTTCTGCTTAGCAATTTCAAGATGAGTGGTCCCAATTAGTGATGAAGCTTTGTTGAATGTCACCATTCCATGTTTTAGGGTGTATTATGTCTGCGTGATCCAGCTGTAGTCTAGCTGGGTTTTCATGTGTCCAGGATGGAAAGAGTAGCTTTTTGTGGACAACTGGCAGTCTTTGCCACTCTTGAAAATAAGAGCTCTTTTATTTGTTGCATCTGCAGTATTAGGTAGATAGTTGATGATTAATGAATATTAGTGAAACAAAAGTATAATATTCTATGTGTAGGGGTTGAAGTATGTAAATGCATGTCCAAGATGGGTAGCCTGACTACTGTTTTTAGTAGATTGTCAATCTAGGTATTTTCATCCTTCTTAATTCTTGTGTTGTAAGAGTGTTTTTAACTTTATACAAACATACAGATATTGAAGGGAATCATTAAAATAAAATAGTCCAAGAAACAATGAAACCAAGCAACTGATCCATTGATTGTACTCTTTGACATTGTTCCAGGAGGAGGAAGAAATTTTCTATTTTTCATAGTAAACATGTCTTCTCTTGCTTTTTATGTCTCTTTCTCTCCCCTGGGTATTAGGCGCCTTGCTGTGACAAGCTTTATACTTGCCGGTTGTGTCATGATAACAATGAAGATCATCAGCTAGACCGCTTTAAAGTAAAGGAAGTGCAGTGTATAAACTGTGAAAAAATTCAACATGTAAGATTTTATGTCATATTTCTGTTTTTTTTTAAAGATTTGAAAAATATTACTAAAATTGCAAATAAGACTTTAGACATAACTCTTGGAGTAAGCAATATGTTAGATATTTAAAAACTTAAAAGAAGCTAATCTTCAACAAATTCTAGATATTCAAATAGTAGTTCAAAATACTTTAGTGAATTTTTTTGTATTTTTTTATTGTCCATTATAATTATACATACTGGTGAAATCATTGTTACATATTCGTTAATGCTTATGGTATAACAATATATCATTCCCTATTATTCCCCCCCCCCCATCCCTTTCTTCTATTCTACTGGTCTCTCTTTTTTTTTTGTACAGTGTATGATAAAGAAACACATTGAAAAGTTAACAGTGATTTTCCAGGTGATTGGATCATCAGCAATTTGAATTTTCTCTATTTTTTTTTATATTTATTCTAATTAGCTATACATGATAGCAGAATGTATGGAGCACAACTTTTCATTTCTCTGGTTGTACACAATGTAGAGTCATACCACAAGTGCAGTCATACATGTACCTAGGGTAATGATTTTCATCTCATTCCACCATTGTTCCTGCCTCCATTCCCTTTGATTTTCATGAGATCCCCTGCCCCTACTTTTTTTTTCTTTCCTTTTTCCTCTCTAGTTTTCACACATGAGAGAAAACATGACCCTTGACTTTCTGAAATTTACTCTAATTTTAAATTACTTATGTCTTTTTTAGGCCCAACAGACTTGTGAAGAGTGTAGCACATTGTTTGGAGAATATTATTGCAGTATTTGCCATCTGTTTGACAAAGATAAGAAGCAGTATCATTGTGAAAACTGTGGAATTTGTAGGTACTGTGTGTAAAATATTATTTTCTAATACTTCTAATATACCTGGGCAATGGATGTTTTAGAATCAACATTGCTGTGATATCATTTACATCTGATAAAATTCATTTATTTGAAGTGTCCAGTGAGTTTTGATATCTTTTTCTGTTGATATCTATCTCTGTATTTACCTATATTTATATATCTGTTACATTATTCTAAAAAGTTTTATCATGCCTCTTCTTGTAATGATCATTTAATTTTCCCATCAACTACTGTGTAGCTATATTAAATTTTAACTTTGGAATATTAAATATAGTTAACATTGGGACATAAAATGTGTTCTTTATTCTCTAATTGCAGAAATTTTTTTATGAATTTTTTTCATTTTAACATTATTTGTTTCCTTCTAAATACTTTTGCATACATATCTGTCTTCAGCATTTGACCACTTATAAACCATATTAAGTAAATTTTGGGTAAAAACATAAAAGATAGGAAAATACTATCATGTAGTTTTTAGCAAAATGAAATGGTATTATTGGTTCAAAATATTTGTGATTTGAATTTCTTCCTATTAAATTGTAATTTGAAGTCCTTCCTAATAAATAATGTGACTAGATGAGGATGCCATAATATATTCTTTTGTTCTTAGAAATACGTGGTTCATTTCTTTTCTTTTTCTATTTCTTTTTTTTTAGGGGGCGAGGGAGAGTGCTGGGGATTAAACCCAGAGCCTTGCACATGGAACACAAGTGCTCTCTCACTGAGCTGTATCTCTAGCCCCTCTCTTTTCCTGAGACTATTCATCTAGGATATCATCATCTGAAAACCATAATCTGATTTATTGATTAGAGCATCAGTTTTATCATCATTATTAGAGTCCTGAGCAATGGTTGCAACTGGGAATGATTTTTCCCTCAGAGGATATTTGGCAATGTTTGGAGACATTGTTTGGTTGTCACATCTAGGAATGGGGCGATACCATGGCATTTATTGAATAGAGGCCAAAGATGCTGCTAAAGATGAGACAGTTTCCTACCACAACATTTTTCTGTTCTAGCCAGGCATGGTGGTACAGTCCTATAATCCCAGTGACTTGGGAGATGAGTCAGAAAGATTGCAAGTTTGAGGCCAACCTTGGCAAGTTAGACTATCCCCCTGCCCCCCCCCCCCCCAACTAAGAAAATTATCAGGCCCAAAATATTAGCGGTGGAGAGAAACCCCAGATTAGAATGTTGGTATCTGCCTCTTTGCATTTATTTTCTGTGTCTAAAATTTCTTCTGTTGGTTTTTTTTTCTACTTGCCATTATGGGTGAAAAAGGAAAAATTCTGATCTTTCAACTGTGTCCAGACTCTTAATACCTTCTTGATAGTGATACAGCACAGCATGAAAAAAACAAAAACAAACTGATCTTGCAGTAGTGATTAATTTAATAGTATATCATTCTTTTGGATGTTCCAACCATACTTCCCAGTTTAGTCTTTTGGTTGGGATAGTGAGAAAAGTTGATAAGTAGTGTGAAAAAATTACTTGGATACTGAAATATCAGAATGTTTCAAGGTATAGGAAAAATAAGATCATTAAGATCCCGTAAATCAAATTTATAAAAGGGTTCAGCAACCTATATGGTAGTTGCAAAATGGAATGAATTTAGCTTATTCAAGAAAGTACATTTTCTCCTTGTTCTTCAGAAGATCTCAATAATGTCATAAATTATTAATCTTTAAAATAGAATTGATTATAAAAACAACTGTCCCAGAGTACAGAATGGATGTTGTATAGTTGATGAGATTGGGCACATTTGGGGTGGTATGACAATAAACTGGATGTTGTATGATAAAAGCTTTTGCAATTATAAAGATTTGATAAAGGCTGAATTTAATTTACATCCTCTCTCAAAGAGTTTTTAGGGTTTTAATAGTTGGTTATAAAGTCCTTTTTACATTCACTGGAACATAATTAGTAATGTCTAGTTAAAGTGTAGAGTACCTAAGAAATTTTCAAATAAAAATGTTTCATATTTTATACTATTATAAAATTGTGTGACTCAAGTTTTAGTCACTTCAAGTGGGTATTTTAGGTGGTATTATATCTGTTGTCATTGTTCAAAAATCTTTGAAATGTCTATTCTGCAGTTGTTTTTTGTGAGTGCTGATAGCACAATGAAAATTCACCAAGAGCTGTAGAATTCTTGTTTTGATTTTTTAAAAATTTGCTAAAAGATACTCTGAGCAAAATTAAATAAAATTGACTGTTAAATACTTTTTTTCAGAAGTGAGGAGACCATCAAAATATTACTATTGTTTTTTAAATAAAAACGATTAAAAGACAAGTAAAAGATACTTGTGCAATTGCAGCATTGTTGGAAACCCTCTCATAACTTAAAAAAATAATCTCATTAGTGTATGAATTCTTACGTTTTTATTTAAAGATCTGATACACATTTATGCTTATGAATAACTGACATTTTAAATCAGAGGAAAGAGTATTAGGATAATTGATTATCTGTGCCATTGCTAATTCCCTGTTCTTTGGGAGTGGGCAAATGCAATTGAAGTTAATTTTCTGAAAAAGTTTAACAAAAGGATTTCAATAAAACTTTGTTGAAGGAATCCCCTTAACATTTCCTTGTTCCCCCCCAAATTTGGTGACCTACTAACAAAGGTTCTCTTGCTAATTCACGTTAAATATTGTGCCTGCACTGTGTTGTGAAAGGGCTGAACTGGGCTTTGAATGAGCTGGCCCAGAAGAGCTTGCAAATGCCTAACAGAAGCAGTTTGTGCTAGCAGCTTCAACCTGCATGAATTCACTGTGTTCTCAAGGAGAACACTCTGCTTTGTTTGTGGTTGAAATATCATTCAGCAAAACTCTTCACCGCTCTTGGAAACAAAAAATTGACTCTTAAAACTCTGTATTTTCATTAGATTGTAGTTTTAGCATCTTGTGAAAGAAACATACAGTAGTGGCTTAAGCAAGGTTTATTTCTCATGGAAATGTCTAAATTATGTAGTTAACAGGAGCCCAGTATTTTTTTTTTTTTTTTTACATGTTCTTGTTCTTGTGTCCCTAGGACATTTTCTTGCCTGTATAGTCTAATGGTTTATATTCTGACCAGTGGAAAGTGGGTAGGTGAGGGGAAGGCAAACCCTTTCTTCTTAAGGGTACCACACAAAATTTTGTTTTTCTCTTCTGTTTGCAACCTCCAAAAAGGTTAGAAAATAGCCTTTATTTAGGATGACTCCGAAAAGCTCAGTGCCTAGCTAAATGTTCTATTATCATGAAAGAGCAGAGAATAGAAATGTAGGAACAACTAGCAATGTCATCTGGACCATATGTAACAAATCTCAAATGGACTGAGGAAAAATAAATGAATGAAAAGCTGTAGGTATTAGTAGGCAAAGGAGGATGTGTTTATAATTTATAGTTTACAGAAGTTTTCCTAAATAATAGGCAGAAAGCACAAGATGTAAAAGGGAAACATTTGATGCCATTTTTAGTACGTGGGAATTAAAAATGACTGTAGTTGGTCATGGTGACACACACCTGTAGTCCCAACTAGCTGGGAGGCTAAGGCAATTGAAGTGAGTTTTCTGAAAAAGGCAGGAGGATCAAGAATTTGAGGCTAGCTTGGGCAACATAGTGAGACCCTGTCTGGGGTTTGGTGGGAGAAACGGCTGTATGACAAAGAGATGAGACCAGAAAAGTAAACATAACAAATGCAAATGAAAAAGATTAATATCTGGGCTGTGTAAAGACCTTCTTTGAATTGGTAAAAGACAAATACTCCAGTAAAATAAAAAAAATAGGCAGAGTGTATCAACAGATAATCTACAGAAAAAATCCAATGGTTCATAAACATTAAAGTGTATTCTTTCTCATAAATTAAAATTGCATATTTTATAAAGGCTGTTATATATGTAACTAGTTCTGGTGAGTTTATGGGATCCAAGGATGCTATCATGCACAGTTGGTGGAAATGTAAATTAGTACTGCCGTTTTGGAGCAGTTTGACTGCATCACAATTAATGATCTAATACCCTCTGAATCAATAGTTTCATTTTTAGGAATCTTGTAAAAAATAATCAAAATGTAGGCTAAGTGTTATCTGGACAAGAGTGTTTATGGTATCACTGTAGCGAAAGATTGTGAATTATATGAATAAGAGAACATTCTTAAAATTTAGCATATATCCATACCATGTTAATACTTTGTAGCTATTAAGAATGAAGTAGTTTTATACAGACAGTAAAATAATCCTCAGGATAAATTGTTAAGTAAAAAAGTTGTAGAACAGCATATATGGAAAGAATCTACTTATGTAAGGAGTGTAATGCAAATTGTGTGTATCTTTCACACCTCTTTTTCTCCCTATAAGTTCATTTTATAGGGAAAAGAGAAAGCCTTGAAGGGTAGATACCATTCTGTTTACAGTGCTAAATATTGGAGAGGGACATTGGCAAGATGGGGGTTTACCCTGTATTCCTCAGGTTGTCACTGTAGTAAAAAGTAATCTAATCTTTTGGCTTTCATATGTTTTGTTAGGATTGGTCCAAAGGAAGATTTTTTCCACTGTTTGAAATGTAACTTATGCCTAGCTATGAATCTTCAAGGAAAACATAAGGTATATAATTCAGTTTGCATAATTTTAAAAATATTGCAATGTTTTTAAAAATCAGCTTAAATTCTAATATATTTTGGAAGTATGATAATTTTCAGATATTAGCAAGTACAACTCTATATGTTACGTTTTAAAAAAGCAGTATTAAGTAGGTATTCTAAAATATACACCTGAACATATGATGTTGTACAGTTTCTTTTCTGTAGTGTAAGAAATAATAATAATAACTGCTGAGGCCAGTTATTAGCATAATGTTGATAAATTCTAAGTTGGTTTATAGATTCTGATCATTGGTGCTGCTTTTGTGATTTACAGGAAAAATACTGAGTAGTGTAACCTATTCACTGAACATTCTATGAAAATTTACAAAGTTTTTTATATTTCCATAATTAAGACAAATATTTTAAATCTGGATACAGGTATTTTATTATAATCCCAGGCTCTCCCTTATTATTTAAAAACTATCTAATAAAGGCTTAAATTTATAGTACTGATTCTACCTACTATATGAATTTGGAGAATGGGGAATTGGTGTGGAGTGAAGTATAAATGATATTTTACAGGTATAGGAAATTCCAGATAAGGGAGAACAGTGAGTATCAACATTGTGTGCGTGTGTTATAGATTGGAAAGAAAGTATTTGAAGTAATTCGCTTAGCACTCAACTAGGTTCAGTAGAAGACAAGGAAAAGAAGTTCTTGTAGAAATATAATCTTAGATAGTACCTGGCCTCAATAATAAAGATGAGTAATGAACATGTAGGAGATGGTAACAGGGAATTGGGGGAAAAGAACTGGGGCTTTTAAAGAAGAATTCCAAGATTTTCAGTCCTGGTTTAAGGTACATGATTAGTAGATAGTGAATTTGTTAAAGATTGAACTTGGCTTTATAAACTTAATTTTAGAGTGAGAGCTAGATAAGGTAATGGAGAGAATTTGAAGTTGATAGCCTCTTATAGATTGTGTTCTTGTGGTACTGTTCTATGCTCCAAAGCCTTTGTAGAGTTTGTGTAAGTGCACACAACCAATTCATTGCATGCTTACAGCATCTTTTACATTTCATCAACTCAAAGCTGTCAGATACATTATGATTGCAGAGATCTTAAAATGTCTGTGAAGTACACTTTAGAACAAAATGAAATATCTATTAGTGTTATTTTATATATATAAGGAAAATAAGACTAAAGAAGTGGTGGCTTGTCTAAAATTTTAGGGGCTCATAAATGTTAGAGCAGAAATTACAGTCTCCTGATTTAAAATTTATTATTTTGAGGACTTTACTCTGCATTATACTCCATTGTCTTTAAAAAGTTATACATATTTTCTTTTATGATTTTTTTGTTCTTTTTTTTTTTTTTTTGGTAAGTTATCTTGTATTGCCTGTATGTTAGTAAGTTCTTTTCAGGTGCTTCCATTAAAAGCAAGGGATGGTGTGATGCTTTCCCTTCTCTTTCTTCATGTAATCAGACATTAAGCCTTACCAAACTAAGAACTCAAGCTCTGAAGTCAGTCTCCCTGGGACTCAAATTTAATTCCGCCTCCTAAGTGTGCAACTTTGTCAGTTACTTAGCTTCTCTAGGCCTTTCTAATCTATAAAATGAAGTTATAATTTTACCTGTATCTTCTAGGGTTGAGAGTTAATTGAGTTTATGCGGTACTTAACAAATAGCATATAGTAAATCTCAGCATGAGCTATTATTTGTACTATAAATATTCTTATTTATTGGCTTAGCATACCAATTTAGGGCAGTTACTTTGTAGTAAAACACATATGAAATAGAAAATTTCCAAACATTACTATCTTTGGAGCTTGGGCGTAAGTAATACTTGATTCCCTGATTCAGTTTCCTTATCTTTTTAATGAAGGTACTCTGAATAGTGCAGATTTATTGAACATTTTCCTTGTTTTAGGTATTGTGTCTGCCCTGAAATAGTTGTGAAAATCAAGGAATTATTAATTTTATCTGACATACAAGAAATGTGTATTAGGGTTACCTATTGTTTTTAGCAAGTTGATTCTATCATTTTTATTATTACTACTACTATTATATCTGGCATTTTTATCTATTTAAGCTTTTGTTAATGTTTCTCTTTTAAAACAGTGTATTGAAAATGTTTCCCGGCAGAATTGTCCAATATGTTTGGAGGTAAGCTTAAAATATTTTTCACTTTGGAAATCTTCCTTCTTGAATTTAGAATACTTTGATGTTTATATTGTCATCAAACAAGCACTAACATTTTTTTTCTTTATAGGACATTCACACATCCCGTGTTGTTGCTCATGTCTTGCCATGCGGACATCTTTTACATAGGTAAAATAACTTTCTTTTCCCTCAAAGATATTTGAAAATAGTGAAGAGAGTTTTTGTTTTTACTGAAACAATATTACTTTTTCTTTCAGAACATGCTATGAAGAAATGCTGAAAGAGTGCGTATTTGAGATTTTAAGTAATTGTGAGATGTCTTTTTTGTGTGTGCTTTTGGGGGTAGGGAGGTAGGCAGACATGACTGCTATTCACACTGTATTAGGCATGGCATATACTTAAATTGACATGAGTAAGTAGGTGAATAGTGTTAAACCAGGTAAGGCATCTTGGAGGATATAGAGCTACACATTTATCCCCATGTCTCTATCGTCTCTATTATGCTTTATCTTCTTCCACAACTTGAGATAAATATCTCTTGTTATGTAGGTATACTTATCAGGAAACACAGTCTGTTCATGGTGTTTGAAAGACACTGAGGAATGTTGCTGAAATTTTTGTTTGGTTATTGTATTGGTCTAGTAATAAACTGCAAAGAAAATTGGTAAAGAAATTATCTAAAACTGGAACTAAAATGATATGAGAAGTAGTTAGGAAAAAAGAGACTGTATAATGTATTTTGGTTCTATGAATTGATGATCAGAAATTGTGATTTAATAGCCAAACAGAAGGAAACATTTTTTCAAATTTTTAGAAAGGAAATAATATGATCTGAATATCTTTTAGGGAATACAGTCTTTTCCTTGCATGACTGTATTAAGAACCTGAGGTTGCTTAACTAAGGAATAGCTTGACTGATGTTTTTAAGTATATGAAATATGTTTTACAAAGACTGTGAGCTGATTTCTTTCCATTTTAGCAAACTGAGGAAAGACTTAGGGTTTAAAAATACTGTAAGATACTGGATTTAATTTAAAGCTTTCATAACGTAAGGGTTCCTAAAGAGATTTTTCTTGAAATAGAATAAATTTTATAGAATAATGCCTTATCTTGGATGGCTTATGTGCCAGTTAGCTTGCATCTTCTTATATGCTCAAGTTGAAATACCCTCCATTAAATATTCAGAAAATAACTTTTCTGTCTCTTCCAGAGGTTACAGATGTCCCTTATGTATGCACTCTGCTTTAGATATGACTCGGTACTGGAGGCAGCTGGATGATGAGGTAGCACAGACTCCTATGCCATCAGAATATCAGAACATGACTGTGGATGTGAGTAGAATCAGTTCTTAAAACTTTTCAGGTTTCTTATTGATACTCTTAAAAATTTTTATCCTTTTACTTAGATTTGTCTGGAAAATACTACTTTCATATAAATTGCATTGTGATGATTAATGGGAAGGACAAAATGATTTTTAAATTTTAGTTGTGTTGAGCTCAAACCCAAGAAAAAAGTCCTAAGAATACCTTTGTGTGGTTTTTCCCAACACTAGATGGCAGGCAAAAACTTTATTCTGAATTATTTGCACATTACCTGCCAGTCAATAATGAAACTGGATAGAGGTGGATCATTGATGTTTTATTTTCATTTTTATTTGTGTTTATTTCAAATGTTTATTGAAGGAGAACATGTTCTCTGATTTTTGAAGTTTAAATTTTGTTTTTTGATGTTTAGTACCCTTTTTATTCTATCTTAGTCTTATTTTATTTGGTCTTAACTAATTAGCTTATAACCTAAAGTATAAGAAGTATTTCTATGCCTTTTGCTTTACAGAAAATGACCATCTTTATTCTACTAATTGAGATGTGCAGCTCTACTAGTCTGTTCTTAGCATAGTATTGAGTTAAAGATCAGAATGAGAAAGCTAAATTGCTTTCTGATGCTTTAATAATTTTGGCACATATAAAATACTTCCTCACACAAGAATAAAACCAATTTTTAAAAATTTTATTCACTCTGGAAAGTTTTTTAATTCATGTGGGAAATTGAATTGTTAAGACAGTGAAAGATGATCATTTTTAGACTAGTGAGAATCATGTGATGTTTTACTAGAGGCTGAAGTGTGCTATTTCATGTAGATATATTTTTTTTAAATAATAGCTTTGTTAGGTTATAATTCATGTACATCCTCATTCCTTTGTTAGTATATTCATGGAATTATACAAAGATCACCATAATTTTAGAACATTTTTATTACCCCCCCAAAGAAATCCTGTTTCCAGTAGTAGTCACTGGGCTCCTCAGGCCTAGAAAACCACTAATCTTTCCACATTTAGACAGTATTTTTAAAAGAATAGTTTTCCAAATTATAATTTAAAGCAAATTTGGAAATTTTCTGTTTATGATGGTATGACTGAAATGAGTGCTTTTAATGCGTAGTGGTGATATTGATCTGTTTTTAGGTTAATGCCTAATTTTTCATGAGGTCACTTAGCACCAAAAGAGATGAATTTTATTAAAGGGTGTTTTATTGTCATTTTGGGGATGAGACAAGAGTCTCCTGTCTCTGCTCAATTTTAGAAATCACTCCTTTTAAAAATTTTTTATTTTTATTTTTATTTTTTTATTTTGAGATAGGGTCTTGATAGGTTGCTGAGATTGGCCTAAAACTTGTGATCCTTCTGCCTCATCCTCCAATGCAGCTGGGTTACAGCCCTGTGCCACTATGCCCAGCACTGTATTTTCATTTTCTAAGTTTGAAGTTTTTAATACTTTTTTAGAGTTTTCAGTGAAAAAAAAGATTTCTACTTGTGGAAATGTTTAAGTATGTGTATCTTTGCATCTTTAATATGCTTGTCAAGAGATTGTTTTAAGCAGACAATGCCACTTATGTCAATCACATTTAAAGTACTTACCTTGAATTCATCTCTTCACTTTTCAGATTCTCTGCAATGACTGCAATGGACGATCTACAGTCCAGTTCCATATTTTAGGCATGAAATGTAAGATCTGTGAATCCTACAATACTGCTCAAGCTGGAGGACGTAGAATTTCACTAGATCAGCAATAAACAGCCTATACTTCACTGGAAAACTCGGCTTTTGTGATACAGAAAAAAGCTCAATGGCTGATGTTATACTGTGTCATAATCTGTGCATTGGAGTTGATGTGTTTTGTACTAGTGTCACAGCATAAAATCATATTACAAGTACTTATGGATTCAGGGTCTCTTTATAGAATTATCATAGCTCTTTATTGGATGAAAGCCTCTGTGCTTGTGTTTTGATTGGAAATTCCTTTAGTGTCAGTTGTTTGGAAGCCAATGATGTTTGCCATTGATATACATATTCATAGAAGTATGTTATATTTTCATGGAACTAGGTGACACTGTGTGCACAGAATTGATAGAACTGCACTTAATTCTCAGTAGTGTTCTTGACTTTAAGGGCTGTGCTATAATGAGAATAAGTTCTACCTAATTGTTTAAACCTAATTACCTATGCTTTCAATTTTTTTAAGACAGTCCTTAGGATCCCTCTAAGTGAATTTTGATGTAATAAATGCTAATAAAATTATATCAAAAGATTTTTATAGAAGTTTTTTCTCAAGATTGTGTATTTTTGACTCATAACGGCAATATGATGTTTCATAAGCTAAAATAAATCCTCCTTTCTTTTGAGGTATTCTTCTATGAGAGCAGTTAGAAAAATGTTATGTAAAATACTCTGAACTTCTCAGAGCCTTGCTTAAATAGCAATATTGAAAATAATTTATGTAGGTGGCCCAAAATTATTTTTCAAAGAATTAGTCATCCTTCAGCAGGTATTTATTGGATAACTGTTGTGTACCAGAAATGGTTCTAAATGTTGCAGACAGCAGTGAACAGTAAAGACAGAAGTCCCTGCCCTCATGGCGGTACATTCTAGTGTTGCACATATTTGATTAGCACATTCCTTGTTTGTCCTTGTTGTTAATGAATGGTTTATTTCTTCCCTAAAGGCTTGTATTGGATATGCCTGGCAAGATCTGTTTTTGTAATACTTTTGGGGGGCTTGTGTAATGGAATTAAATATACTTCTTAATTCAAGAACAAAGTTAACATTCTTGATAATCTAGTCAACTTTTGCAGTAGTGTCAGTATTCAGTAGATAGCATTAGGTTAGGAAGTAAAATGTATGTTCACTGATGAGTACTTAATAAGCACCAGTTGAATCTCCAGTGTATAAGAAGATAGTCTAATAACTAGAAATCCTAACAGTTCGGGTACATTTATTTTTTCTTTGGTTAAAATCTCTTTACCTGGATAAAGGTAGCAATATTGGGGCTCAGATTTTTATGTTATCCATTGTTTTAGCCAGCTTTCTATTGCTGTGATAAAATACATGAGATAATAAACTTATTAAGAGAAAAGGTTTATTTCAGCTCACAGTTCCAGAGAGCAGTCCAAGGTCACTTAGCTCAATTGTTTTTGGGCTTATGGTAATGCAGAACATTATGGTTGGGAGATGAAAGAGCCAGTGTTCTTATACCTCCTTCAAGTTCATGCCCCGATTGACCTAACTTCCTCCAAGTAGGCCCCACCTTTTAAAGGTTCCACCATCTCTAAGTAGCACTACAGGCTAGGGAGCAACCCTTTTTAACAGACTTTTGTTGTTTCATATCCAAACTGTTGCACCAATGTTTATATCTTCTGTGTTATACTCTTTGTGTTTTCTCCCTTTATGTGTTTCCTTGGCCTGAATAGGGTAGCAGTGCTGTCTTGATTTGGAGAAGGTGTATGATATGTTGCCAGGTATTACTGGCCAGTGTACAGAGAAGGAGAGACTAGTTTTCCAAATGTAATGCTTTTTGTTTCTGTTACCTCGTCCTGCTAAACTAATTTTAGAATTTAACATACTTGAGTAAATAACAGTTTCTGAGTGTCCGAATTAGGAATCAGATCCAGGTCTGTGACTTCAAACTCACTATACCACATTGTCTTTGACCCTAACTTCCATTGTGCTAAAATACCCCTGATAGCTAATTATCTGTTTTTGAAGAACTCATGATTTATTTGATTGACCTATTTTTCAGTGACTATAGTTTTTAGAAATGTCTTATTTCAAAATCTGATTTTATCTGCAATTCAGGATCCAAATTTGTGTAAGATAATGCAAGATAATGTGCAATCACTTATTAATTCTATCCAATCATATACTTGGAACAGTTTTCAATTGCCCTCAGAGTGTCCAGGCTGTGGTACTCAGGGTTCCTTCAAGGATATGTCCATGATATGTCAACCCAGCGCTTAAAATGCTTCAATTCTCATTCAAAATCAGAATAAAAGCAGTCCCTTAGCATATAATAATATATAATAATATGCAATTAATACTTAATTTTCTTTTACTTTTTTAATTTTAAAAATATTTTTGCTGTAGGAAAGAAGCAAAGGTAAAACACTCTCAGGAATAAATACTTTTAGTATTTTAACAGAAACTTCTTTTACTGTACATGAAGACTTTAAAAACTTACAGGAATGTTAAACACTTAGCTTGATCTTTAGTAGAATAATAGTTTGTGAAATAAGGTTTAGTAGAATTGTGTGTCCCTAAAATAAGATAATTTGTTAGCTATGGTTTACTTATTTTAAGAATCAGTAGCTCAATGTTTATGAGTTTCTTGGTGCATAGCTAATTATCAACTTCTTTTGTCATTAAAGAAATATGTATCAAGATACTCATTTTTAATCTTTTAGTTTCTGGTTACTTCTTAACCAGTACATGGAGCTTTGTATGATATTCTTTAATTTTGGTCATGAATTAAAATTAGGAACTAAGGAACCAATTTATAAGTACCTGACACTTAATAGGGGTCCAGTAGGTGAATAGACTGATTTGAAATGAATTAGTTTGATATGATAGATGCTCAGAACTATGACACTTTGTTTTTTGTTTTTAAAATTTTAATATGTCAAATAGTTGTATATATTATGTACTTTTGGGGTACAGTGTGATATTTTGATATTTTTGCTTATTTTCCTGTGCTTAGTTATCGTCTGGCTTTGTTATCAGGATAGTGATGACCGTATAAAATGAGTTTGAAAATATTCCTTCTGATTAACATTGTGAAATGATTAAATCAGAATAGTTAATAAGTCTGCCTCTCATACCATTTTTATGTGATGAACACTTACAATATACTCAGTAATTTTGAACAATGTGGTACATTATTTATTGTAGTTACCATTCTGTGTAATAGCATCATTAAAGCTTATTCCTCTTGTCTAACTGAAATTTTAAACCTTATGATCAGCATCTCTTCTTTATTTGGCCATCCCTCTCCCTCAGCCTCTGGTTACCGCCATTCTACTCTACTCTTTGAGTTCGGTTTTATTTTGGATTGCTTAGTATAGTGCCCTCTGGGATCATCTGTGTAAATACAAATAATAGAATTTTCTTTTTTTTTATAGGTGAATATATTCTATTGTTTGTGTGTACATGTTTTCTTTATCCATTCATCCAATGATGGATACTTTGATTCCATATCTATTGTGAATAATGCTGCGGTGAACATAGAAGTGCGGATGTCATTCTTCAACATTCTGATTACAAATCTTTTAGATACATACTTAGAAGTGAGATTGTGGGTCACATGGAAATTCTGTTTTTTGTTTTCTGAGGAACCTTCAGACTGTTTCCCATGTGGCTTTATTAATTAACATTCCCACCAAGTGTACAAAGGATCCCTTTTCTCCACATCCTGGTCAACACTTATTTTTCACCTTTTTTGTAATAGCTGTTCTAACAAGTGTGAGGAGATGTCTCTTGTGGTTTTCATTTGCATTTCCCTGATGCTTAGTGAACATGATAATTTTTTCATATGTTTACTGGCCATCTGTATATCTTCTTAGTAATGTATTTTTAGGTCTTTGTCCATTTTAAAATTGGCTTCTTTATTTTCTTGCTATCGAGTTCCTTATCTATTTTGAATATTAGCACCTTATGAGGTTCAATGGTTTGCAATTTCTTCCATTTTGTGGATTGTTTCATCTTCTATCAGTTGTTTGTTTTGCAGAAGCTTTTTAATTTGATGGAATTCCATATATTTTTTGCTTTGGTTGCTTAAATGCTTTTAAGAGTCTATCGAATAAATTTTTGCTCAGATAAATATGTAACATTTTGCTCTGTTTCCTTCTAGAAGTTTTGTAGTTTTAAATCTTAGGTTTATGTTTTTAATCCATTTTGAGTTGATTTTTGAATGTGGTGTGACATAAGGTTCCAGTTTCATTCTGTATATGGATATCCAGTTTTTCCAGCACCACCTCTTGAATATACTGTCCCTTCCCCCAGAGTGTATTTGTTTTGTTGAAAATAAACTGACGTTAGGTGTGTGGGTTTATTTTGGGGCTCACTGTCCTGTTCCATTTTTAATGTGTGTGTGTGTGTGTTTTTTTTTTGTCAGTACCATATTATTTGGATTCCTTTAGCCTTGTAATAGATTTTGAAATCAGTTAGTATGGTGCCTCAGCTTTGTTGTTTTTCCTCAAGATTGCTTTGGCTATTGGAAGTAGTCTTTTGGTTTCATATGAATTTTAAGTTATTCTTAATATTTCTGTAAAAAATGACATTGGGATTGCTATAGGGATTGTGTTGAGTCTGTCTATCACTTTGGGTGTTTATGAATTTTTTTTTAGTTGTAGTTGGACACAATACCTTTATTTTATTTATTTATTTTTATGTGGTGCTGAGGATCAAACCCAGCACCTCGCACATGTTAGGCGAGCACTCTACCCCTGAGCCACAACCCCAGCCCCTAGTTATGGACATTTTAACAGTATTCTTCTAATCCATGAACACAGTATACCTTCCATTTATTTGTATTGTCTACTATTTCTTTCATCAGTGTTTTATAGTGTTTAGTATACAGACCTTTCACCTTCTTGGTAACACTGCTAAATATGTATGTATGTACTTATTTATGTGATTATGAATGGACTTGATTTTTAGTTTTTTCTTCATTTATCAGTTCTGATATTTTTCAAATGAAATCTTTAATAAGAGTTTTCTGTTATAAGATCATGTCATCTGCAAACATTTCTTTATATTTAAATACCTCTGGATTTTCTTTTTCTTTTCTAGTTGGTCTGGCTAGAATTTTTTATACTGTTAAAAAAACAGTGGGTGAGACTGGGCATCATTGTCTTGTTATTGATATTCAAGGAGAAACCTCAGCTTTTCACTGTTAAATATGATGCTAACTGTGGGCTATTTATATATGGCGTTTTTGTTTTGGGTACATTATTTCTAGCCTAAGTTATTGACAATTTTTCACTTTTATTTTTATCATGAGAGGAGTTTGAATTTTGTTTAATGCTTTTTCTGAATCTATTGAGATGATCATTTTTTTTGTCTTTCATTCTGTTAGGTGTATTTTATTTATTCATTTTCATATGTTGAACTATCCTGCACTACAAGACAAATTCCCTTTGTTCATATTGAATATCCTTTTAATGTGCTATTAAATTTGGTTTGCTAGTATTTTTTGAAGATTTTTTTTTCCATCTGCATTCATCAGTGATATTAGTCTATGATTTTCCTTTCTTATAGTGTCTTCATCT